ACCTGGGGGTTTTAGCATGTAGGCGCATAGTGTACAGAATAGTAACCTACCTCGGAAGCGACCTGACACCATGATCCAGGCGCAGCGCAAAGATCGATCAAGACTTTGCTCTTCTCGAGGAAGTTGTACTTCTTGTTCAGCTGGATCAACTTGAAGGCGGCACGCGCACGATAGCCCTTCTCCTTGGCGAGCTTGTACCATTTGTCGAGACGACCTTTTCCATGCTTTTGGGGATTAGTCACTATCGCCAGTAATAATTCTGTACTTGCGCACCTTCTTTTGGATCGCCATTGCTGCGGTTTGGCGTCGTGGTACGGCGGGCAAAAGTTCGCGCTACAAAATTTGGGAAGCCCGGCAATATCGCTAGGCGGTGGCAGAATGCACGCTATCAGGTACGCTAACCCAGGACTAGTGCACGGGATGGGCCCACATGCGTCATTGCTGGCTCAGCACGACGCGCCTGGTCCACCTCGGGATGAAGGTATGCTGCCAACTTCACGTGTCTTGCCCGTGCTGATGCTTGCTCCAGCGGTCGCATCGCCTTCTCAGCTCCTTCACCCTCCCTGCCGGAATGAACCCACGCAAGAAGTCCAAGCCAAACCCCGAGGCTCCCTCCGACGCATCCACCAAGGCCCCAGCAGTCCCACAGGATGCAAGTACGGCCGACACTACTCCCAGCAGTAGTGACATCTTGCCAGATGCACCCTCGGACCAGTCGGTAGCAGCGTCAACGTCCTCAGTTGGCGCCACAACACCGACAGCCTCCGGCACACAGACACCGCGAGGCAAGAGGTGGCTTTCGGGCACGGGCAGTTGGCGGTCGAAAGCGCCTGCCATAGTCCAGACCGCGAAGGAAAGCATCGGAGTCAGCGGGGGCGCGACAGGCGAACTACCTGATGAGGAAGCGAAGAAGCCAAGAGACGAGTCGCCCAAGAAGTTCCTCACCAAGCGCAAGTCGAGCAAGGGCGATGCCATACCCGCCTCCATCACCCAGGTCAACGTATCCTCGGACGGTCTCCTCGACGAAGCTCCAAAGCCAAAGCCAAAGTCACTAGACGTCGAAGAAACACCCGCGTCCCAAGTTTCCGAACCGCCGTTACCTGCCGAACCGCCCAAATCACAAGTGGACGCAGCTGCTAGTGCATGGGGATGGAAGTCTTGGTGGTCACGCCCCGACGGGTACGCAGACCCAGCTAAACTCAAAAGTGAGGCACACTCAAGTGTTGATGAGGCTTCCACCACGCCACTTCCTGGACCGACACCTTCAGAAGAGCCAGATGCGCAAACGAAGGGCCTAGATGTCGGCACTATCCAACCCGATACCGATCAGGTCGCAGATGCAGATGGGAAGGATACGCCGAAAGAAGCGGCACCTCGTTCGGATACAGAGTCAAGGGCTATAACATCTACAACTGCCAAAGTCCTGGCGCGAGCTGCATCTGGCTCTTGGTTTTGGACGTGGAGTAGTGCGCAGAATGCGCAGGCGAATCCACCTCCGGTCGAGCCTCCCACTGAGAACAACGACTCAGCCAAAGTCGATACTGTACCGCAGACTCTCCCCGAAGCACCTGCCGAGATCGAACCTACTGCGCCAGAAGAGACAACAGCATCCACCGCCGCGGACGCGCCTATTGAAACTCCTCAAAAGAGTACTACGGGGACATCAAAAACCTCCGCATGGGCGTTTTGGTATAGGGGCAAGCCAGAAGACGAAAAGAAGCCAGGCGAGGCTGGACCGCAGAAGCATGTCGGCGAGGTCGCGGTGTTCGATACCCCCTCACAATCGAACCCAGAAGCAGCGCAGTTCAACGAGCAAGAGCAGCCCAAAACAGACACAGAGACACCCAAAGAACCACAGCAGCCACCGAAAGAAGAACCGGTGACCAAGAAATCCTTTGCATCGTTACGAGGCAGACCGAAGACAAAGCCTCCCGCTAAAGACACGCCAGCAGATACCCCGACGTCAAGTAAGCCCGCTACGCCGACGAAGGCCTCACCAGTGCTCGAGCCTACGAAACCCGAGACGAAGCCCGACGCCAAACCCGAGACAGGAACTGCTGCTAAGCAAGCGCTCAAGCAGGCAGCGAAGGCCAAGCAAGGACCGGCGAACCTCCTGCTACCAGAGTTCAGGGCCACCTACCAAATGGTCCAGCAACCAAACTTCTGGAAGCAAATCCGGCGATACTTCCTCGGGGGCGAGCCTGCGACCCCTCACCTACATATCAACCCGGCACCGCCAAAGATCAAGAAGGCTGTAGCGATTGGCGTACATGGCTTCTTCCCTGCGCCCATTATTCAAAAGGTGCTAGGGCAGCCGACGGGTACATCAATTCGATTCGCGAATGCAGCGGCAGCAGCGATTAAAGACTGGACCGAAGCGCGGGGATACAGTCCAGAGATTGAGCAGATAGCATTAGAAGGAGAGGGCTTCATTGCTGAGCGCGTCAACTCCCTGTGGAAACTCTTGCTGAACTGGATTGATCACCTGAAGCAAGCCGACTTCATCTTGGTCGCTTGTCACTCGCAGGGTGTGCCGGTAGCTATGATGCTTGTCGCGAAGCTCATACAGTTCGGATGTGTCAACGCAACGAGAATCGGAGTATGCGCTATGGCCGGTGTCAACATGGGTCCATTCATCGAGTACAAGACGAAATACTTCGGCCCTACGGCTGCCGAGTTATTTGAGTTCTCCAACCCTAAGAGTCTTGTTAGCCAGATGTATCTCGCAGCTCTAGACGAAGTCCTTCGATTTGGTGTGCGGATACTCTACGTTGGTAGTATCGACGACCAGCTGGTCTCTCTCGAAGTAAGCAGACCGTTCTTGAAAAGAAGTTTTTGCGCTCACTAACACATGTCAGTCGTCAACTTTCTCAACGCTATCGCATCCCTACATCTACCGCGCGGTTTTCGTCGATGGCCGCATCCATGCGCCAGACTTCCTAACCCACCTCGTTGGCTTCGCGCTGAAGCTACGCAATCTGGGCCTCCCCGATCACGGCCTCATTCGAGAACTCTCCCCCGCCCTCGCAGGCTCACTATATGGCGGCGAGGGCCACTCTCGCGTCTACGAAGACCCTGCTATCTACTCCCTAGCCGTCCAACACGCCCTCGAAACAACATCCCTACCGACACCAACAGCGACTAAAGAGCGACCGAACACCGCGGGCAGTTTCCAGGGCATCAACATCCCCATCATTGGTGAGAAACTCGCGAATAACAGTAAGAAGGAGGACGTGTTCAAGCTCCGGGTGAATCACTACGAGCCATCTGCCACCACAACAAACCCAAACCCTTACTTCTTACCTTGGGCGATGAGAGGGTTGCTAGAAGAAGAATTCGTCAAGAAAGAACTTGGAGATGAGGTTGAGAAGTTGCTGGGCATGTTTGAGGCGTGGAAGCCAACTGGAAAACAGCTCAAAGACGTCAAGTTTAGACTCGAGGGAGTGCGAAGTAAACTCTAAGCACCTGATCGAGACGGCAATGTTTAGTGTAACTGTATGAATAAGCGAGCGTTATCTGGTTTGGGTAGGCGTTCTTGAGGCGCTCAATTCACGTGGCGGGAAGATACCATACAACGGGCGTAGAACACGTTACATATTGAATTTATACGATCGATTTGCATATGTATACACATCTGATCATGACTTCCTTCCTCCACTGCATGGTGACGAGTAGATCCACTGTGTTCATCCTCGAACGCCTCCCAACGATTGATGTTTAGTTGTCATCGTAAAAGATCTCCTTGTACCGATGTGTAGCATCTACAACAGCATTTGCCGCATTGAAGTCTACTCTTGCGTCAGCACAAATTCGACTCCGCAAGGGAGGGCACATACCGATGTTCGTCCCAAAGTCTGTAGCAGCTTGTACCTTGACATGTAGATTCTGGTCTACTTTGCCGATGATCTCTACTGCGTGACCGACGGCGAGGTGTGAGTCCTAGCCGAGCAACATTAGCTTGAATGATGTGGAGCCGGAAATGGAATTACTTACCCTGTTCAGAATAACATCAACGTTGCCTCCGGCATCAATGACTGCTGTCTCACCGCGCAGTTGTACGACTTTGCCTAGCATGCGCACGATGCGGTGTTGGAAGTTTGATAGGTGTGGGGCGAGGATGCGGGGGGTTTGTGGGTGGTCCATTGTGCGCTAGTTATTCAAGACTCTTTCGCTGAGGAATTTGGTGGGCGCTTGATGTAGCGTTAATGTGGTGTGCTTCTGCTGGGTGATTGTGTGTGGCGGTCGGAAATGGTGCTGCGTATTGTGGTGTAGTGTGGTCTGGACGGCAAGGTGGAGATGAAGGCAGGTTTGACGCGTCGCGTAAAATGCGCTAGCACGTGATGGCGCTTGAGCTCCTGATCGTATCTCGGCCAGCGGGAATGAGACGGAACCTCCACACCCGAGCTTCTCAAATCGGAACCATAAATCCTCTAATCAACAGACATAAACATGGATGTTATCCACAGGTACGATGTATCACCTTCACTAGGGCAAGCCCGCACCTCTCTGCGGGCATTCGGCGCTCACATATCGCGACGCGACTTCACATAACGAATGCGTGTTCTTCGACCTCGAGACTGCGATCTGGTCATGCGCAAACTGGACTCGGTTTCATCTAGCACCCCGATATGTTCTCGACTTTTTCTCGAAACTGGTCCGTCGTCATACAGCTCCATTTGCTCGTTGGTAGCAACCCAAAACATGTTCGCTTGTCTAACCGCAAGGCACAATCAATATATTGATTGACTTCACGATCAGCTTCCCTTGCGTATAGTCGCTTTCTCATAATAGAACAACGATTTTGGAGCATCACACCGCTTGCGCGTGTAATCATCACCGTTTGTGTACAGATATTCTTGCGAGTGTGCCTCTGACCAGCAAGCTGAATGGGTAAGCTGGAGGTATATTAAGGATCTGCAGTTCTGATGCAAAAGTCACACCAGAGCCACTGGGCAGTTTTAGAACGACTATCTTCATTCCAGTCGCTGATACCCACGGTAATGACAACACAGGCTGCCGAGAAGCACGACGCCCTGACGGTATGGGCCAACGACACAACTCACGACTTCTACTACCCTCCTTCCGATTTACAAGTACCAGACGATCCAGTCAGAACGGGACCTGGTCGCGCATGGGATGAGGCCGACTTCGCGAAGAAACAAGCGTCACTGGCCTACGCAGTCAACAAGAAGACACCACCACACGCCGGAAGATTTCCCATTCGGACTAAACTCCAACCTCTCGATAGCGGCTCGAAGAAAACGATCTTGACCAACCATTTCCAGCTGAAGACGCGCGACAAGGAACTCTACGAGTACGAAATTCTCGATCTCGACGCGGACAGTCCGACTCGGAAAAAGATCCAGGCTTTGTTTCGTAAAGCAGTCGATACATGGCCTTTCCTCAACGCCCACCAGGACAGTTTCGCTACAGACGGCCAGAAAACCATCGTATCTTGGAAAAGCCTGCACAGTAACATGGACCCTAGCACGCTCGAAGCAGGCGCTTCATCTACTTGGCGCCGCGATCTTGTAGTCAATAGCGCTATTACCATCGCAGCGCGTTTCAGCTTCGTTGGAACGGTCGATGTTGCTGGTCTCATCCAGCAGAGCGAGAGTAACCCGGACCAAGAAAAGACTGACCATACTTCTGCGGAGCGGTGTCTTAACATCCTTATTGCGAAGAGCTTTGACGCAAGCGTAGTCCGGCTTTCTGGAAAGAAATTCTACGTAAGAAAAGCTCGCGCAAACCTTGGAAGTTCCACGTCGCTTGAGATCATTCGAGGCTACCATTACGCTGTCAGGCCGGGTATGGGAAACCTGCTCATGAACTTCAACGTTGCGACTAGTGCATTCTTTCGTCCAATCCTTGTAAGCGAGTTTCTTGCGGATCGTGGCACCTTCAGCAGCGACTGGGAACGACAAGTCAATCTCAAAACTCTCCGGGTTTATGTAGAGTTCCCTCATTCTGAGGATCGCCTGAACAGGCCAGGTGCTCGTATCAAGAAGATCAAGGATCTTGGACCCGCTATCGGCACTCTGTCCTTCCGGAAAGTATCCAAAGATGCCCAAGGACAACCGATAAGGGACATAACCCAACCAGGTGGTTGGCAACTCGATCCTCCTACTCAGGTAGTTGATCATCTGATGACAGGCAAGAAGACTCATCTATATTTAGTGCGTTGGCTAACGTCATTACAGTGTTTGGTCAGTCTGCCGTCCCAGGTCGAAAGGCTGTCAACGTGGGATCAGCTGGTGACCCGGTCTATTACGCTCAAGAAATGCTTCGCATCATTCCTTACCAACTGTACACACGTCCTGTTCCCGATCGATTTACCCGCAACATGGTCGAGATGGCTGCACTTGATCCAGGTCAGTCGCAGTGGCTCATCGAAAATGAAGGCCTTTCTCAACTTGGGTTTGCCAACGCTAGGAATGAGGAGGTTCAGTTTGTGAGTAGCGACTCTCCACATTGGCCGCTCTGGAGCTAACTCGTGTGCAGCGTAATGATGTCCCACTGTCCTTGTATCCGACGATGCTACAGGTACCTTCCACAACATTGTCCTACCCTGAAGTCCAGTACCAATGGAATACGTTTCGTCCTGAGAAAGACAAGAAGGCGAACGACAAACCTCCATCCTTTACGCAGTCCGCTTGGAACCTGCAACCCTTCACAGCTTTCTACACCCCTAAAGTACAGACGTTGAAATACTTTGTCATTCATTCATTGGATTCGACAGTCCCCGTGGCCGGTTTCGAGACGGAGTTGCAAGACCAAATGCTCCGAAGATGCCATACGAAGGCCGAGGGGGTAGTCCGCTTGAATGCCAGCGAAGCTGCAAGTGAACTCAAAGGCTCTTCCTTGGAACTAAGAATGAAGCAAGCTAAAGAATCCGGGGCTGAGCTGGCGGTTTTGTTGCTTCAGAATTTCGACCGCAGCGCTTACTCGGAGTTCAAGAACCTGGCAGATCGCAAGTATGGGCTACGCTCTCTCTGTTTAGCAAAGCCGGCGCTATTCTCGAACTCCAAGTACATGAGCAACGTTGCTCAGAAGATAAACATCAAGTTCGGTGGTGTGAACTCTTACGTGGCGAAGGTCAAATCTTTCTTGGAGACAAAGACGCTCGTTCTGGGTGCAGATCTAGTACATCCCCCAGCTGGAGCACTCGAAGATACACCCTCTATTGCCTGTATGGTTGGTTCTATCGACAATCACGGCGGCTGTTTCCCGGGATCTGCCCGACTCCAAAGCAAGGACCGAGACGACCGAGAGGTAAGTTCCACCGTTCATCTCCCGAATTCTATTGACAGTAACCAAGATAATTGACGAAGAGAACATTATGTCAATGGTCAAAGAGAGGATTAAGGCCTGGCGGGTTGACAAGGGGGGTCTTTTCCCTCTGAACATCATCTATTATCGCGACGGAGTGTCCGAAGGTATGTCCACTGACAGGTTTTGTATGTGGTCAATACATTGTTCAGCTTACTGACTTTATACCTTCAAACAGGACACTACCAGAAGGTAGTGAGCGTCGAGCTGAAAGCCATTCGCCGAGCATGGAGAGAAGCACAGGCCGCTACCAACACCATCCTACTGCGCGGTGACAAGGATGTGAAACTTACGGCTTTGGTGGGTGTGAAACGCCACCATACCCGCTTCTACCCGATGACAGACAAGGATGCGGACACTGAATGGGGAAACAACAATTGCCTTCCTGGCACCTATGTGGACCGAGTCGTCACCTCGCCATACTATCGAGACTTCTATCTCCAGTCTCACAGCGGTGTCAAGGGTACAGCGAGACCAACTCATTACTTCATGCTCGCGGACGGAAAGATTCCTAATTGCACCACCATCGACTCACTTCGGACGCTAGTAAGTTTGCGCTCGCTTTACTACTGGAAACAGCCTACAATCTTGACTTCGTTACCTTTTGCTAATTACCATAACAGACTCACAGTCTCTGCTACACTTACTGCCGAGCCACGGGCGGTATCTCTTACGCGGCCCCAGCCTACTATGCCGACCGCTTGTGCGACCGAGCACGTCTCTACCTCCCCGAGTCCTGGGCCGCCAACAACGTGGGGCTTCAGGCCAGTATCGATACTGCAAGGACCAACCACTCGACTGCACGTCAGAACAATCGTGATCTGCTATACCGTCAATGACAGCAGTTCAACTCGGCAGTGCATAATGCGAAGTCTAACACGGAGCTTGCGGATGAAGCGCAAGACGAGGACAGTCTTCGCGCGTTCACCAAGGACTTCGTCATACAGCATGCCAAGAACGAGTTCTACGAGTACAAGACTGACCAAACGGGAAACCCTTGGCACGAGTCTCTCGACAGGGTCATGTTTTGGATGTGAGCGCTGGCTCATAGGGCGGAACGGTAAGTCGGTGGAGGATGTCTCAGAACGTCACGGTCTATTTTCTTCTTCCTTCCCTGTTTGATTGGATTTCCCTTCTTCCCTTTGGTCATCAAGTCGTTCCCTCGGTACTAGACAAACACGGAGTAGGTACGCTGCTTATCAGTTGGTGACGTCCATTGCAACGTCACGCTGCTACGTCACCTGCCCCCCTCCTCAATACCATCTTGTCGGTACTATTATGTTTGACTAGCGCTACCTTAGCGCCGATCTTCGTGCATATAAACTTCCTCTCCCGTCCTCAATCCTCTTCTTGTTCTCTCCATTCATGGTGGCGAACTTACGAGTTCGTCGACTCAAAATTCACGCAGTTGGAAGCAATGTCTGTTTTTGGCCTGAGTGTCCAAAATGGATGGGTTTGCAATGTATGATCGCTGTTTCTTCGTCTGGGGAGTCTAGATGCATGGAGTTTACCCGACTGTCTTTTTGTAGTGTCTGCGAGAGGTCTTCAACACATGTTTCTGGTAGTTTGAGTTTACATGAATCAAGAAGAAGATTGATCTGAGGCTATGAAAGCCGCTTGATCGAGTCTCTCGGGGTATTTGCAAACTTAAAGCACCTTTGGACGGCCTCGACCGAAGTCGTATGGCGGGAACAACATGGGTGGTTTATATGGCCTCGACGTTTTATAAGTTTGTCGATAACTGGTGAAGATGTTCTGAGTGTTGGGCGTGTTGCCATACTCAGCGCCACCACAGCCAGCATCGAAAAGTTTGTTGGCGATGGTATTGGTCCACTGACTGCATACGACCTCGTCCCACATCAAAGACCTTGTAGTATGAGATATAGGGTTGACAGTGACTGTCCAGGACTACCTATGCTTCAAGGATTTGTATTAGGAAAGATGTATCATTTTAGTCCTCTAGCTTCTTCAACAAGGCCTTCATCTTGGCCAAGAGATCCGGAATCCTGAACGGCTTTCCAACAACATCATCCATACCCGCTTCCTTTGCGTCATCCATCTGTCCCCCTCGAATATTCGCGGTGACCGCAATGATTGGCACATGCTTCGTAATCTCTTTCCGTTCCTCCATCTCTCGTATCTTCCTGCAGCAGGTGAGGCCGTCCATCTCCGGCATCTCGCAGTCCATGAGAATGATGGTGAGTGGCATGCCATTAGCAACGCAGAATTTCGTTTTCGCGAGATGCTTCAATGCCCAGACGCCGTTATCGGCGGTATTTGTGACACAGCCAGTTTTTGTGAGCTGTTTCACTAGTACCTTTTGGTTGACTAGATTGTCTTCGACGACAAGAACGTGAAGTCGGTCATCTTCTTCTCCGTCTTTCTTGTCGTTTGTGGGCCGGGGAATCTGTGCTTGTACCGGGGTCTCAACTTCCCTAGGCGTGGCAGCGGGCGCGGTGGAGTTCTGGTTCGCAGCTGCGGCGCTGATTTTGCGCGAAGATGCCGCGTGTTCGGCGTCTAGAGCGTGCTTCACTGTATCCGTTGAGATCGTAGGCTTTTTTGCAATCATGCGTTTGCATTTCAAGTAGAACCCGAAAGTACTGCCGACGCCAGCTTGTGACGAGACGCCGATTTGACCGCCGTGAAGCTCGGCAAGTTGGCGCGAGATGAAGAGTCCGAGACCGCTACCGCCGTACTGCATATGTGTCCGTGGAGACTTCACATTGAGAACTCTGTCAGCCTAGTTTTGCAGTGGTTCGGGGCTGGTCGCTCCTCACAGCTTGCGCAAACTTCTCAAATAGCAGCGATATCTGCTGAGGCGACAAACCGCATCCAGTGTCCTGGACATTGAACCGAAGATAGACAAACGAGCCTGAGCCCCAACCCTCGCCGTTTCCGAATTCGCTCACGATTTGTCTTGGCGGAACAACTAACGGCGGGCGCATAGAATTAGCGCTTCACCTTCAGGATATTCGACTAATGCAGCTACTTACATTGGAATCCTTCTGGTACGCCAAAGTCTGGCGATTCCGCATGAGCACAGACATGAACTGTGATCGAGCGAACTGGTGCGTCCATAGTGAACTTGATGGCATTGGTAATAAGGTTGACGATAATTTGAAGGAGTCGACTTGGATCAAGAATGACCCAGTCAATGTCGAGGTCCCGGATACTCTGATGCGGAACGAACTTGAATTTGATGTTCTTGGCTTGTATTTCAGGACGGAACCTGTTAGGATCATGTCAGCCCAGCTTCCGTATATATTCGACTAGAGGCTACCAACATTGCCATGGACCGCTGTACAACGATGATAGGCTGCGCTGGCATTGGCGTGATGCGGAGAAGATTTGAGTCCAGCTTTGAGACCGTAAGAATATCGTCGACGATGGACTTTTGATGCTGAACACAAAGAGTGATGTTCTCAGCAGCCTCGATACAGTCCTGGGCCATCTTTCGATCGCCAGTGCATGAGAATTGATACTGCGTCAGAGTATCTTTGATATCGTCGGCACATATCAAGATCGCGGAAAGCGGGTCTAGATGTTGGTAAACGCGTCAGTAGACATTTCGACTGCAACCAGCATAGGGGGGATATCGCTACTTCTCATCTCGTGCGACGTGATGTCGATGAATTCGTTCTGTTGACGCTTTGCCTCTTCTGCCTCCCGTAGTCTTCGTTCCTGCAGACCCTGCGCCCACTTCAAATGCGAAATGTCCGTGAGCGAGCCCATGATGCTGATCAGCTCACCATCGGGGCTTAGCTCTGGCTGACTAGCAGAGAGGACCCAATATTCGATTAGTGAACCGTCGATATCTCGGGGCTGGAATGTCGAGTTGGCGAATTGTAGCTCACGACTTGCTGGCTTATGGTGAGTTATCATATCTGGATGTTAAACTTCGTGGTTAGCGCTTGAAACATGCGACTGGCATGGCAATATCGCGTACAGTTCCACATGTCTTGTGCCACTTGCTTGCTCTCACCCACCATCATCTCAATAGTCCAAGGTAGTTTGGTTCCTGTAGGTGAGACACCTGTCATCTCGTAGTATTTCTCGTTCGCCTCCAATAAAAGTCCATCCGGATTGAATAGATACATGCCCATGGGCGATAGTTCGGTCATTCGGCGCATTCGTCCGGTCTGAAGTTGGAGCTGTCGAGACATCTGTTCTCTTTGTAGGGTAGCCATCTCAGCGACTTCTTTGCTTTGCCGCACTTCACCTTCGAAAAGTAGTACTGACGCCAACGACGTGGCGATCTGTCTATTGAGCATGGCGATGAAAGACCTGTACTCATGATCATAAGCCCTTCGTGGATTGATGCCTATTAGTAACAAGGCACACACGTTGTCTGCATTGGTTGGTCGTAGAGGTAGAACTATGGCCTCTCTACAAGGATCCTTGTAGCCGCGCCATTCGATGATGTCTAACAGTGGCTGTGGAAGCGTATGGTCTTTGATGCTCAACATCCTGGGCTCCAGGGTCTGGGTAGCTGCTCGAAAAGCAGGTGTCAAGATACCATCGTAGTTCTTGAAGCTGAATTTGTCGGGAGACACTGCATGCCCTCTCGGCACGCCGATAGATCCTTCGAACACGCATGACTTGACAGACGTTGGCGTTGCATCTGAATGCGAGGAACCATTCTCAATGTCGTCTGCCTCGGTAACGGTATAAAGAAGCGCAAAGGGTACGTCGTATTCGTTGTGATTCAGGCCCTCCAGCACTCTTATCCAGAATTCTTCTGAAATGTGGGTGCGCGATTAGCGTCAGTCACATGAAGGATCGTCCATATTCACTTACTGACAGTACGTGTGGCGTTCATACGCTCCCCGAGGGATCGCAGTAACCACATTCTTCTACTGCTGATCGACTCAACCGTGGTATCAAAAGCATTGAGATAGACTACAGTTCGCATCTCAGTCAGCAGTTCCAGTATCTTTGGCTCAAGCCCACTGAGTCTCGCTGATAGGCGGTACGGCAACGTTTCGCAGTGTTACTCACACCCCAAGACCCGCTCTGTTCCACCAAAGACCGGAACCTGTCCATCTGTTAGATGTATTCATGGGGCCAAATCGAGGGCATCAATACTGACAAAAGACCAAGTAAAGAAAGACTCTTCCATGTAACCGTAACGCATGATGGGTAGCGGCTGGTTGTGGTTTAGCTGCGCATGGCCTGTCCGAGCACATTCGCGAATTACAGGACCAACCGCGTGCCACATTTCACCGAAGGGGCCTGAGAAACCGGTTCCCATCAAAGCCGGATGTTTGTCGCCCGTCACGTCGTCTCGATAGGCCTCATTGTAAAGCATGGTCAGGTCCTCGCCCCAGAAGACAGAAGATGGATGAGGGTTGCGCATGACTAAGCAGATGATCTCTCGGAACTGGATCGACCATCTGTTCATAGCTCCCAATGGTGTGTTTGCCCAGTCGATGCCCCTTACAAACTGTAAATGATCCGAGAGAACACCTCTGGGGTTCGGTGCTGTCCAGTCGGGTACGGACGAGTCAGGTGTAGACAAAGTGATCGCTGAGATGCTCGAGGAGCCATTTTTGTCACGGTCCTGGCCGAGGGAGACAATCGGAAATTTAGGTTGTTGCACATCCTCAACGATCTCCCGCGTCGGTATTGCCTCTGCAGAAGCTAAACTCTTCGCTACGTCGGCAGTGAGGTCGCCGTGCCCCTCTTTCTCAAGTCGCGGTGCTGATGCGCTCAGCGGATCCCCTTCAGGGATATCTTCATTCTGGAAAAGCTTGTGTGCGCTAATGATTCGCCAATTGGGAAAAATCGAAACACCAAGCCATAAAAAGTTCTCAAACTCGATGGTGATGGGAAATATATCCCGGGAGTCGTTGAACCGGCTGAGGATTGTCGTCCATATTCGAAACTCATCATGTGTTGCTCCACCATCCAGGGAATCGCTATTGCTTGGAGAAGTGCCAATTACCTTCTCCCAAAGCTGGTGTTGCTCTCGGAGTGCTGCATTGCAAAAGATCGGTCGTATCGGATTTCGACACCCCTTCGAATATTCGTCCATGTTGAGCACGAATGTGGGCCTGTCATCGAGATCCAACAGCTGCGGAAGGGTGCATGTGTTGAGAATGTCAAGAGCAGCATCGTGCCGTTGGGCCTGGTGTAGGGTAGAAGGAGCTGTAGGCAGCGGTAACTGAAAGAACGAGCTACTCATTAGGGCCCAGATAGGAGATCGTGTCGGCCCTGCACGATGATAAAGCAAGGTACATTAGGAATAGGGAGGGCGTGCGTTCGTAGGGTCGATGTGCGATGTGCAACGTGAAAGGTCGCGATGAGTCTGTGCCTGGGCCATAGAAGACGCTTTGAGCGCGGTAGCTACGGTTCCTGTGGACGTGACTACCAAGACTGCGACAATCAGAGTATGATTGGCAGGTACATCATGATGCAGACGATTGCAGACATTACCATGTCACCGATACATCGCATGCTGCTTAAAAGTATTACTTCCCCGTCGCACCTAGGCGAGCTCTTCCGCGAGCTGATTCATGGCTTCTCCAAGCCGGTTGGCATCATTTAGATGTCTGGGTGGCATTGCGACAGGCTTCTTCAACGTGGAAAAAAAAGAGACATCAATCGCGTGCGCGTGATAGAAACTCATAGGGCGAGCACGGTGTCGTCCAAAAGATGGGACGCTGAAGTAGATGTCGCGTCCACGGGTGCGTCCCGGGACGGCTGTGAATCACGCTACCAACATGCCTGGTTTAAAATGACGTCACGCGTTTCTAGCACCAACACGGGATGTTCTCCGCATCGCAGAACGAGCAGATTGCTGTGTTGCACGATCCAACATCAATCCTCTCTGATGTCTTGGCTAATGGTTCTTATGCGCTAGACCTGCGTTTTTGAATGGGGGCAGAAGCTGCTACTATCTCTCGATCCAAGACTTTGATGGAGCTCAAGACCGTTCGACTTCCGAGGTCCCGAGGTCCCTTCCTACTGTAGGCTGTAGGCATGGAATGATCCTATACACCTGACCATACAGACACCTCCAAATAAGCTCTTGTTGCGACATCGTTAGTATACACACCCAGACGAGCCGAGGGAACTCAGTGACAGCCCACGGCTTCAACGACTCCGAGAAGCTCGTCAAATCAGGCGCCATGGAACGCGCAGAATTGAGGGGGAGAGAGAAAAAGACAAGAGAGTCGAGACCAAATGCTTGAAGTTGTGGCGGGGTAGAGGTGATAGTATGCGGTTCAGTAACTTTCCAGATGTTAACGCAGTAGTAGTGGTGCTCTAGCCACAGATTAGCCCGAACGAGGGGTCTTGGAAAGAACTACAAGTTTGTTCTGGTGTGATACGCTAGCATACGCCTGAAATATACTCCCAGTGGTTGAGAATCGGAAGGAGAGATTATGCGGACTGGAAAAGAAGAAGTACGGGGATAACTTCCGCAGGGCGGACCGGGTGTTTGGGCCGCGCTTTGATGTGCGGAGTGTGGGCCCACGGACATTTTGTCAACGTCAAAAACACCCATCTGACGGACAGAATCCCTCGTCTCTGAGAAGAATTGCATGTGTATGTCTCCACAGCGCGCAATCCTCATCGCCGATATCTTGGCGGGCTGCTAAGCCGAGGTCGAGCGAGGTCGAGCGAGGTCAGGTTAAGAGACTGCCCAGGCGGTTATCCAGGTGTGCTGGCAAGACTCGGCCAATCGCATCTTCACAACCCAGTCCGTCTATTTGGCTGTGGACGCAACTCCTCTTCTCTCCGCGCACTCTTCACCGGCCGATGTTCATGCATTCCTTGCTCAACCACCATCACTACAATGCATCTCTAACACGTGCAGAAGGTTATTTCGCGTGGATCGAATGCCGAATGCGCCAGAGCCATGCGTCAATCCGAGCCCAAGCGGAAAGTGGGTTCACGATGTCAGTGGCGCTCAACTGCCGCATTCAATAGTCTTCGAACCGGATCTAGTAAAGCAGCTCTTGATTTACTCAGGGGAGAGATCATGATCACAGCCCGTCCCGTACGCTAATGACTTACGTAGTGCATGATCTACAAGGCCTATGCAGATCGATATATACCAAGATGCGCTTCCGCGACTGTTCCACCTGGTCGGCGACGCTAGAGCGGTGACAATGTAAACATTTCGTGGTAGACTGCGATGCAACGTTTGGGCAGGATGACGATCTTGAGCTTCACGACTCGTGGTGTAAGAATGGTTAAAGAAGGGTCGTATGCTTGCTTATCTTGATCGACCAGGGCCCTGCATCTCCTCATCTTTTGGTCGTGCTTGCTTCTTGTACCAAGGTCCAGCAATTGTCAACATGCGTCTCTCCATCCAATCGCTAGCTCTTCTGAGCGTTCTCCCTGCGTCGCTCGCAGCTCCCGCACCATCTCCAGCTGCGGCACCTGCACCGATTGCAGCACCAGCACCGGCCGTCGACGCAGTTCAGGGACTGGATGAACGTCAACTGCTCAGTAAACTCACATCTGGTTTGACCTCCCTCGTTGGTGGCCTTCTCGGCCAATGCGACCAAGCAGTCAAGGACGGCGATGCCCCAAAGGTGCTCGACATCCTTCAGCAACTTCAGCCTACTTCGCGACCAACGAACATCGAAGAGGCAGTCGCAAGGCACTCCCAAATCTGGGCGAGCCCGACCACGCGAACGGACTTTTTCGCCGCAGTAGCGACCCAGATAGCCGGTGGCCTTGTCCTTGACGACACGCTAAAGGCCGCTTTCACCGGTGGTCTGCCCTTCGGCGAGAACAGCATCAACAGCAACAACCCAGCCACCGTCGGTATCTACCCGAAGAAGGATGCTGCTGATGCGCCATACACACTCTCCGAGTCAGCACTCCGAAAAGCACTCTTCATCCCACCTAGCTTCACCTACGGCGCGAAACGCCCAGTGATCTTTGTACCCGGAACTGGTGCTTATGGAGGCACAAACTTCGCCAACAACCTCAGGAAATTGTTGAATGGCAAGAGCTATGCTGACCCCGTATGGCTCAACATCCCCGGCGCTATGCTTGCGGACGCGCAAACCAACTCTGAATACATTGCCTACGCCATCAACTACATCAGTGCCGTCTCACGCACGAACAAGGAAAACATCGCCGTCATATCTTGGTCCCAGGGTGGTTTGGACACACAGTGGGTGTTGAAGTACTGGCCATCAACCCGCAAGGTTGTCAAGGACTTCCTTCCCGTGTCTCCAGACTTCAAGGGCACTGTCATCGCGAACGCGATCTGCTTGACACCGAACAGCGACATCGCGCTCCTTCCCTGCGACCCCTCTGTTATTCAGCAAGAGGCTACCTCCGATTACATTGCATCGCTCAGGCGTGATGGAGGCGACAGCGCATACGTACCCACTACGACCTTTTACTCCGGCCTCTTTGATGAGGTTGTGGAGCCTCAACAAGGCACTATCGCATCCGCGTTCATCAATGACGCGCGCAATGTTGGTGTCTCCAACAACGAGGTACAGAAGGTGTGCTTTGGACAGCTAGGCGGCTCCCTCTATGGCCATGCCGGCGTTCTGTTCAACCCTCTGACTTACGCGCTTATCGTTGATGCGCTTACGCACGATGGACCGGGTAATGTGGATCGCATTGATGTCAAGAGCGTTTGCAGTACCTACGCCGCTCAGGGTCTCGACCTTGACGATGTATTGGCTACTGAAGGGCTCATTCCTGTGGCTGGTGTACTGCTGTTGACGTACCCACAAAAGATGTACGCTGAGCCTGAGTTGAGGGCTTATGCTAGATAGATGCGGCTCACAGATAGTCACGTTCAATATCACAGTCACTAATATATCTTGTAATTTGCTTCATCAACCTTGTTAAGCTATACTTTACGTGGAAACGTGGAAGCTTGCCTAGGCCAACAGCCCTCCAGTATGAACTCGCGCGTCACAACCCGGAAACGTACCGTCGTAAAAGCAAGCACTATGTAGGCTCCAATCAAGTGACAAAGTGGTTTAGGAAACAAACATCAGTATCCTCATAGCAGTCCAGCTCACGTGCTGTTCCAGCTTGTCTCACTTCTTCTCCTTCTTCTTCCTCCCTCGCTTGCTGGCCGGTGCAGATTTTGTTGGTGGGTTATAGGACGGTTGAGGGAACGAACTCGTAATGTTCGAATAGCCTGGATGATGCGCGAAGGCTGGCATACCCGATGGAGTCGCATGCACACCCGGATGAGTCGGATAGCCCGGTGCCGGAACGGTTATCGCTTGTTGACCTGGTGGCTTCACTATGTTACCATCGGGCCCTACTACTCCCACTGCAGTGACGTCTTCTTTAGCGACACCATGGTCAAGGAGGAACTGATCTATCGCCGTGAGCGCAGTAGGGTTCTTGGCTTTTATAGCTCTGTTGATCTCCAGAATTTTGGCTACCTTCTCAGCTTTCGGGAGACTTTTGAAAGCCGGCATGCTAGCTGCAAGCTGAGCTGTGTCGGTCCAGTCCGGTGTGGCAGTACTTGCGTGGGGTTGAGGAACGGACTTGGAGATACCGGCAGGTCTAGCAAGAGTCGGGAGGCCAGGCTGAGTATTGCGACGACGGTTGGCAGTATTTCCGGACTGCGTGGGCTGAGACCGAGGCGCAGTAGGGAAGCTGTGTTGCTTGATTTTGAGCTCTGGTGCCGTGGGCGCCTCGCGTGGCTGGAGGTATTGCGGCTGTGCTAAAGATGAATAGCCCGTAGGCTGGTAAGAACCCAGTTGTGGGGAGTACTGTTGGATGGACTGAGCCGGTGCATACATCTGCGCCGTAGGAGTCGGTGCAGGGGTTGGAAGCTGGGATGGTACTACACTCCGCTGCTGTCCGGTCTGCTGTACGTAATCCGGAGTAGGATGCTGCTGAAGAGCCGGGCGTGGTGCGTACGGCAATCCCGGGCCGTTCACAGTATCATTGGACTGTCTCTGCCAAATTGGCGACATCATCTCGTGTTGACGACCTTGTAGAGAACCTTGAGAGCCGGGTGACGGGTGTTGTAGTCCAAATCTTTGCTGCTGATTGGGAAGCTGATCATGTCTTCTTGCCCAGAATGCCTCGATCTCTTGGTTTCGACGTTGATAGTGCTGCAACTCAGGAACAGTCAAGGTTCCCGAGAGCCCAGGTTCAGTGAAGTCGCCCGGGTTTGCGTAGAGTAAACGAGGGTCGATATCGTGGTTCGTGGGCGGTCTTGCTGTCATCGCGAAAGTTGAAGTTCCTGGTTGATTATCCACAGATGAAGGGGAATAGTTTGGCACTGATGTGCGCGTAAGTATCCACAATTAAGCAAAGAGTTCGCTGCAAAAGAGTCTACGGCCTATGTAGCAGTTGAAATTTGGACAGCGTAGAGGAATTGAGGGTGTATATATGACATTACCGAGATGAAGGAGCGGAAGTGTGAACAGTGTGGGTTGAATGTAGGGCTTAAATGGGGTGAAGAGCGTTGTGCTTATGATGGTGTGGTAGCAAATCTGGTGAAAGCGCGTACATACCTCTCGCGTTTTCGGGCGCAATCTGCATGAGCCGTACACTTTCGTACTTCTTCCATGCTTCACTGGGCTGCGCATTGCGATGCAGCAGCTCGTAGGGTCCCTTTAGCTGCGCCCGCCGGATGAGAAACCTCGCCAGAGGCTGCAGGTTATCCGTGAGTCCATTAAGCTCGGCTGGGAGGCCTTGGTGTCTACGTTCGATCGCGAAGAACACGCGCTCAAGAAAGAGATCGTCGCCGTCGATAGAAGATTTCTGGAACGGATCAGCACCCCGGCGGCGGTCAAAGTGAACAAATGACGGAACTTACGGGCTGGAAACTAGAGGTCTCGAGCGCTCGCTGGACGTACGGCTCAATGTCGAGATCGTCACGCAACAAGTGCTTGAAGGCGTAGCGCAGGTAGGGTGTGAGGGTCTGCGCAACCCATTGCGGATAAACGGGGAGTATCGGAGCGCTCATTCTGGCGTTCCTGTGGCTGGGACAAAAGTCGTTGCGCGGTCGGTGAGGGGAAATGTTGAAAGCGGCGACGAGGATTTAAGAAAATGAAATCTTAGTATGCGAGACAGTTCATCGAATTCACCACGACGAAGCTGCGACAAGGATCGAGCAAAGTGAAGGGCAGAGTATATGAGACAATTTCCCAGCTTCACCACGAGAACTAGGGACAGGAATTGATGGTGCGAGATAGCCTACTGAGTTCATCTCGACTTCACCACGACTTCCGTAGACCTCAAGTGGGTGAACTTTGCTCTATAGCATGTCGGAAGTTCGAGGCGAATGACAACGACGATTGCCTTCGCCTACGAGCCGCATCCCGCGCGGGAATGGTGTCAACCATGGTAAGCAATTCATAAAGATGAATTGGTCGTTATCCTCGAGGTGTTGCCTGAACCTATTCGAAGTGGTCTCGTAACCAGGTAGAGCGCAGCGGAGGCTCAGCGGAAAGATAAAATTGGGGAATAGCTTGTACAAGCATCGCATGCAGCAAAAAAATGCAGCGCTGCGTCTCTAGTAGAAGCTATCGAGTGTCTGAGTCGTCTTAAGTGATTCGAGATGATGATGGTTGAGGATTGTCAAACGCAGTCGCGTCCCATACGGGTAGGGGCGCGTCAGGGACGCGACTAACAAAAGCGGGGCGATGACGCACTCCTTATCATCCGCCTGACGACAAATTCGCACTTCATCAACGCTCATTGTCATTTTCAGTACGAATCTCTCGGGCCAAACATATGGCTCTTGCTCGTCGTATCTCGCAGCTTTGCATGCTGACGGGTTGTCTCAGACCCCACGGCGAAGCCAAGGCACCAACACGGCGCAGCGCAACTCGGGCGTATAATACGCACATATACACGTCCTTCTTCTTGGCTACCGTCGATCGCATCCAGCGAGTACTTATTCACTGCGTAAGCTTTCAGTGTGGGCAGATCAACAGTGCCGTATAGGGAAGAACATCGTATGGCTGTATGGCTACTTTTCCTCTCGACAAGAGAGAGCCATATCAGCACAGCTATGCTCAAAGACTCGGCTACCTGAGTCTTGGCCCTTCTTTGTCAGACCGGGTCATTCGTAGGATTAGCGTTACTCTGATCTAGCGGCGAGGAGAGACAATGGATGACGGCGTGGGGCGTAGTCGACTTTCACTTTTTTAGCCAACCACTGACACGAAGATGCGACACTCCACCGGCCACGCCATATTTCTTGACCATTCCATGAGGATAAGCTGAGAAAAAATCGATATTTGGCCACAGTTCGGGTCCTGCACCAAGGCAAGAAAGACGCTTCATTGGTACCAGCTATGCAGAGAGAGAAGGATGAGTGAGACCACCAGTAAATAGTTATATACGCCTCCAACTTCACTTGGCTATTCCGCCCCAATCTCGTTTCCCATAAAGTGACGACTCTGACTCCCTCGACTCTTCTAAGCACCTCCCAAACAACCACCGAGTATACCAATCTACTTACTCTCGAAACACCGAATCAAGATGAAGTTCGCTCTGTTCATCAGCACCTTGCTCTATACTGCCACTGTCCTAGCCGCTCCTGGAGCTGTACGCCTCTCTATACCTTCACCCTAAAGACTTCATTAACACCATCCTACCAGGTCTCCCTCAATCGCTCCTTCAAGACCATCGCAGTCCGCGACAGCGATAACGTCGAGGGTACTGTGCAAGTTGCCTGTATCGAGTGTCCATGTGGATTAAGTCTCCTCGTCGTCGGCCTTTTCCTCTGCAAGGGCGGCGCATGGAGTATTATCAAGATTCACTGACGGCGCCTCCAGGGTTTTACTGGCGCTTGTGAATGCGTCTCGGGGGGATGCTGCTGTGATGATAACGGCCATGTCGAGGTGCCTGAGGGTGGCTGGAAGGCTTAGACAACGGCCGTGGTCAGCGCCCTCGCCATCGTTGTCGGGTCTTTGGTCTAGCTTTCATCTCTTTTCATGATGGCCTCGAGCAGTATTCCGTCTTAAATATGTTGGTGGGCACTGCTGTTTGCATCACTCCATTGTTACGAGACGAGTGGACAACGAAGTTTGAAAATATCTTCTTGATTGAGTCTCAGGCATTGTCACTGCCTAGTCATATAGTTTGAGACATATATCCATGATCCTTAAATCCTGTCGTTTGCCGCGAAGTCGTGCATCCATCCCTTACATATCCACATACTTGCACCCCAGAAGACTTCACTCAGGGTGCGTCCATTCCGGTCTTGTAGTGACAAAGTAGCCCTCAAGAACGAGGCAAAGTGCAGTTCTTCTGGAGACAGCAGCCGTTGACGACACATGTGCAGCCACCGTAGAAACCCTAGACGCATATACATCAGCCAGGTACAGTATTATTCGTTCTGCGATAGATAGCAGAGGATATAACTTACGTTGCATGGACACTCGACACATGCCGTGAGAGTATCGGCGACTGTGGCACCGCCGCCATCAACGCCAGTGTCGGCCTCGATGAAGGAGCGCTTGAGGGAGATCTTTGGGAAGTGACTGTCAGCAATAGTCTCAAACAGGATGACGGTACATGGGGATTAGAACTTACAGCTCCAGGGGCGGCCATGGTGGTTCCGAAGAGGAGAGTGGCGATGATGGTGGTAGCCTTCATGTTTGCGACTTGGTGCTTGGTTGCTGGATGTAATGGAGATTGCCGTACTGAGTGTGATGGAAAGCTTGAAGCAGTTGATAATTGTGAGCGAAAGCAAGGTGAGGATCTTCAGCAAGGAGAAGAAACGGGGGATTATATGCTGTGTGCGACTGCTTCCCCAGAATGCGGGTAGCTAGCGTAGAAACTTCATACAGCAAGCACGCCCGCGTTGAGCCTGTTGAGCCTGTTGAGCTTGGACTTTTCAATCTTCTAGACCGTTAGTGGCTGTTATCCTCACCCGGCAGGAGATCAATGTGCTCACGGCAGGAGGCGACTATGCGATTGCGCCTTCCAGACTGCGTCGGCCTGCCACGCATCCCGAGGTCGCTCTTGAAAAGGCCGGCCTGGAGCTGGAGCTTTAGTCTCCATCGTGACGGGTCTATACATCCCCACTGGAGGAGCCACTTCAAGGATGCTCTAAGAGTTCCTGTAATTTCCAAGCTCTTACTGAGTCCTTCCAATCGTGCCTGCTCTGGCAATGTGAAGTAGTTCAAAATATGTCTTGAGCTGATCCTAAAGTCATTCTCCTTGACTTTTGCAAAGAAGATTACAAGACTGATACAGTGCAACAAAGACGGTAATGCAGTCGACTAGCGCGACTTCGCGTAGATACTATTCGCGAGACGAACCCGACGTAATTCAACACAAGCGAAATGACTTCCACAAATGAGAAGGCATGGAAAGCGGTGTTGCTCGACGAGAGCCCGCCTTATTACAACATGTTCAAGAAAGCGAACGAATAAAGGAGGTCCTGGAGCAAGTAATTCGGATTGGATGACTTGTCGGCTTCGGACGGATTTGTATATGGAGGAAGATAGAGTCGGTCCATTGAATCTTCGAGGAAGGGAGGGTTATGCCGTTATGTTGTTGTTCGCTGCGGGGTCAAGTCGAATAGAAAGTAAAGAGAGTGGAGTGGTGGTTGCGACTAACTGCCCAGGTGCCAGCACGTGCCGCGTGCGCGAAGACAGCCGTCCGGGGTCGTTTCGTGGCCACCTGGGCAAACTTCGCGCTCTCGTTGCCTACTATCAGATATCTGTGCATGCCCATGTCCCGTGGACTCGTCAAGCGGCGTGTCTTCCTCATGCAGCAAAAACGTCTGAACGGTCTAGCCTCTGCGCTGCAGGGTCCGGCACCTGATAGCTTCACGTCGACGTCATCATGCCGAAACCGCGACGCGCAACGCCTTTCTCAACAGGCTGTCGCCGCCAGCGAGGACGATAGACCACCTCCAATATGAGACTGTGATCTCTACGACACTAACATTTAGCCTCTGCTAACATTGCATGCCTCTCTGGATCACGTCGGCCTGCCCGCATTCCAGCCATTACCCAGTCACGTCTCTCGAGTTGCGCGCATCGCTTGCGGCAGACCCATCGCAAATATGTCGACTGATACAAAGCAGCAAAAGAACGCCAAGTTCGGTCATCTGCCTCTGTCTACGTCTGGACCACAGGAGACTAGCCTGACTGTACTACACGCCCACCCACTCTAGTAGCCATACGACTAACACACTGTCCAGGGCAATGCACTTCTACGAACACCCTACTTCAACAAGGGCTCGGCCTTCACCAAAGAAGAGCGCGATGTCTTCAAGCTTCATGGGCTCCTTCCCACCAACGTCCAGACCCTCGACGAGCAGGTCAAGCGCGCATACGCCCAGTACTGCTCCCGACCGAATGACCTCGCCAAGAACACCTTCATGACGAGTCTGAAGGAGCAGAACGAAGTATTATACTACAGGGTATGCGACGGTTGATGGTGTCGGTCATGGCATGGCATGGCTGACGGCTGCAGCTCATCCTCGACCACCTCAAGGAGATGTTTTCGGTCATCTATACCCCCACTGAGGGCGAGGCGATTGCCGACTATTCCAAGATCTTCCGGCGACCTGAAGGTTGCTTCCTCAACATCGACGATGCAGACCGCGTCGAGGACGATATCAAGCAATGGGGAAATCCCGACGATATCGATGTGATAGTCGTGAGCGACGGGCAACAGATACTCGGCATTGGCGATCAGGGTGTAGGAGCCATCCTCATCAGCATAGCGAAGCTCGTCATCTACACTCTGTGCGCAGGTATACATCCTTCGCGAACACTCCCTGTGGTCCTTGACTGCGGCACCGATGTCAGTAGAGACCCGAAATAGATGCGCATTGCTAACGAGAGTAGAACAAAGACCTTCTCAACGACGAGCTTTATCTTGGCATGCGAAAAGAGCGAGTATACGGCGAGCGATACGATGACTTCGTCGACAAGTTCGTAAAGGCTGCGAGAAAACACTACCCCAAAGCCTACATCCACTTCGAGGATTTCGGAT